TGGCGTAGTAGCGGCAGAACTTCAGCTTCACGGCCCCGCCGCCTCCGCCTCCTCCGGCCCCCGCCCCGCCGCCGCCGCCGCCCGCCGGCCCCGCCGCGCCGACCCCCGCCGCCGGCGGCCCCAACACCGGCGACGGCGAGGAGCAGGGCAGGCCGCTGGGGTTCATGGCAGCCGCCCCGCTGCCGGGGTCGGCACCATGGGGAAGGAGGGAGGGAGGGACGGGGCGGGGAGGAGGAGGAAGGGGCGCGGGGACCGCCGTCACCCCGGGGCTCCGGACTGCGGGAGGGGGAGGGAGAAAAGAGGGGAGGCGACTCCGCTCCGCTGGGGCGGCCCCGCGGCGGGGGGCGGCGGCACTGCTCGGAGGTCCCGGCGCCCGGGGTTGTTTATGCCATTTTCCTCTTCCTGAGCGGCTGCCCGGGCGCGCCTGCGCCGACGCGGGGCATTCTGGGAACTGCCGCCGCCGGTCGGGGCGCGGGGGCAGCGGTGGCCGCCTCGGGGCGGTGGGTGCTGCACGGCCGTCAGCCGGCCCCGGCGCGCTGCTTCCCGCCCCTCGCGGCGCACCGGGGCTCCCCTCTGCCTGAAGGGAGTCCCTCCGGCTGTGCTGCTTTTGAGAAGTGCTCTTCCCCCGAGCAGCGCTCGTGCTCTGCGAGGCTCCGCTGTGTCGCCTGCACAGTCTCTCGGGATGCTCGCAGGTTTTCCTCAGTCGCGTTGCTGGTGCGTTCAGCCAAGCGGGGTTTGGGGAGGGAAAGCGTCGCGTTCTGAAGCGCGCTTGGCCGCAGTTGGGTATGGAAAGCACCGAGTGTGGGATCGGGAGCGCCTTGTGTCTTCTCTGAGGGAAAAAATTACCCAGGGTCTGTCTCCGGGGTGCTCTGACAGATTCGGTGGAGAGAAATTAGCAAAAATATACGGAGTGAGCTTTTCAGTGTTGTGCTGAAACCTATCTGAACCTTTCTCCCTCAGAGGAAGTCTTTAAGGGCTTCGGGAAGGAGCTGTGTGTTAAGCTGGAATCTCAGTCAGTTCTCGCAGTCAGAAGGACTCCTCCAGCTTACAAACCAGCTGTGAAGTACAGCAGTTGTTGTGCCAAAAGTGAAAATTGGGCAGAAAATTGAGACGGTGACTGGAGTCAGAGCTCTGATGCCAGCCCAACATCCAAAGAGAACAATATGAAGTCTGTCAGCTCTCTGCCGTTCACCCGATTTCAGCCTTCTTGCCTCCCAACTATGGGACAGAGGTTCCATGCATGCTATGCTCCTGCAAATATAGGAAAATAGGCAAAACAGTGGAAATACCCTATTGGCTTCTCTTTTAATGTCTCTCAGGGGGAGCCCAGATACCAACCACAGTAGATACACGTGGGGGGAGCCCTCGTGAGCTCCTCAGACATGGGGAATGCAATGGTCAGAACTTGCACCTCTTTAGGTAATAAAAAGCAGTTGGCTTTAGCATACAAATCAGAGGCATTCCTAGCAGCTCCTGCTGTGGTGCTTGCAGCAGTCCTTAGTTGCGTGTCACTCAAACCGCGTCATTAGAGTTATGCCTCTGAGGAGCAAAGTCCCAGGCTTGGTTGCTGGGAAGCTGTTGGGGCTATGGATGACACTTCCTTCAGCTCCTGCAGTGAGGAAAGAGAGGGTCTGGAATTGCGTTGTTTTCTTTCTTTTATCCTACTCATCCGTGCCTTGGGAAGATAAAGAGTAGGGGACAGCTTTCACATGGGAGAGGCCTTTGGATCATATGGGTTCATGGAGGAGAATGGGCGTTAGGAGAACCAGTGCTCAGGGAATGCCAGGTGTGGGGAACGAGAGGAGCCCAACTGCACCTGCAGAAGTCCTGTTATCAGCAGTCTGTGTATTGGCCCTTTTTCCAGGGATGATGTCCTCTGGGAAAAAAATCCTCTTCCCTTCAAAAAGATCAGACTGAGTAGACTAGTTATGCATGTATCTGAGAAGGCTGGGAGGGTAGCAGAAAAATGTTAATAAAGGGAGAACAAAAATCTCAGTTTTCACTCAGAGGTTTCCCGAGCACTGTGAATCTTTTATCCAGAGCTTTACTGCTGTGGATCTAATGGTATCAAGTTATCCTAGAAGAGATTTCATGATACGTGTAGGGAAATACCTTTTCTGGGTGAACTGGTTGAGCATGAAATGAGTTCTTCCAAGCAAAGGCTTCAATTGTGTAGCCACTCCCATTGCTGAAGTGTATTCTAACCTGTGTTTTCAGTCTTGTGAATCTGCTTTTCCCACAGCTCTTTTGCTGATCCATGCATTTGTGTACAGCTGCGTACACGCTGAGGTTAATTGGCTTGTGAACCCACAACATACATTATTTCTGCCTCCGTGCTGTAGTTCAGGTTGGAAACATCCACCCTGGATGCAGAAAGAGCTGAGATATTGAAGTGGGCTGTGGCACATGACCCTGCCAGCTGGAGTGCACAGATAGCAATGAGGCACACTGTATGATGCCATGGGGCTTTGGATTCTCCTCCACCCTTGTTGGTGTTAGTGATCACCAAACTCCCAGTGAACAACAGGTCAGTTTGGAAGCAACCTTTGTTGTTTGGTTGGTTGTTTGTTTTTTGCCAACAAAGCCAACAGTGGAAGGAGGTGGAGGATGGCATGAGCCTCTTTCTGTGGCTCTGGCAAACTCATGTTTCCCATCTCTCATTTCTGTTAAGGACTGGGACTGAAGACTGACCTGTGGCCATTGGGACCCTGACACCTTCTTATTAATCATAATCATGTGTTCCCATCCAGTTTTATTTGCACTGCCTGTTCCCAGTGGCCAGCCAGGACTGCAAGGTGTCCCATGAGCCATTCAGTATCTTTGAACTTGAACTGCACTGCTTTGTGCAGCCCACTGGGCATTCCTGCTGTGTAGCAATTGATGATGCTGCCATTCTTTTCACAAAGCTAAGTCCCCTGTATTGAAGCTGGTACCTCTATGGAGAACACTGCAGCTTCTGTCTCTGTCACATACCCAGATTTATTTTGCACAATATCCAGGGAGAAAGACAAAGGAAAAACAGATAAATGCCCCTGGGCCTTGTCCCAGTTTGTAGTCAAGTCGTAACTGCAGCGTGCTTTTTGACCCAGAAATGGGAAAATACTCCTGTATGCGTATATATGGGCACAGCCAAGTGACAGAGCTTTTATGAGAGAGAGAACAAAACATTATGAGATTAAAAATAGATGGGGGGGCAGGGGTATAAAAAAGGAAATCCTTGGGAAGGAAATCCCTGCCAAGAGTTCTTTTCCCCAGCCAAATCAAGTTGCATGTGCCAAATAGCTCTTTCTTAGCATCAGAAACTGTATTGAGAAAGCACTGCCCACTATTGAGAGTGACAATTTCTCTTTGTGTTGACACAAAATTAACATGTTTAGTAAATCATGTGGAAACAGATCCTGAAGTTCAGGCTTGCATTAAATAATAGAAATGAATGACAGTACTTTTTGAGTGATAGAGTTATACTAGCTGTGATATTTATTTATTCATCTATTTTTCTAAGGCATGGGCAAGACAGTTTTTGTTGGCAGGCATCTTGTTAAACCTACCAAGTAGTAGGGAAAATAATGCCTGAGCACTATTGTGTTGTGTTTTTTTTAACACTACGAGTAAGTCTATTAGGAGATACTATCTCTGCTTAAAAAACTGCCCTTCCTTAATGTTACTGAAATACATCAAAGGAAGTGTTTTTTTAAAAATGGTTTTGCATAATGTAACTTCAACCTTTAAAGTCTCAGAGTGTATCATTAGGCAAAAAAAAAAAAAAAAAAAAAAAAAAAGTTAGCAAAATGTATGAAAATGTAAGTATAATCAGAGCCCACAGTGATACTGAAAGGAATTTAGCATTTGTTTTTCATTTGTTGTTGGTGATGGTGATGGTTTGTTGTTTTTTTTGTTTTGTTTTGTTTTTTAAGTAATAAAGCCCAATAACTCAGGATATAAACCAACTGGTGTCTGAATTCTTAGGGAAATTGCCACTCTTGAGAGGATTAATCCACAAATTTTATTTATTTATTTATTTTTAATCTTCCTTTGAAGCGTTTGCAGCTGACTAATAGACAGGATGTTGGACTGAATGAACCAGGCTGCGGTAGCAGTTCCAATGGGTCCCTGATGGGGTAGTTGGCTTTACCATCAGTACATGGAAGAAACCTAATGTTGCTCCTGACCAGATTCCCATTCACATGCAAAAAAAAATTCATTCCAACTCAGTGAAGTTTTGAATTCAAATCAAGTAGCAAGTCAGGAGCTGACCTTGAAGTGTTCCTTCTTACACCCACAGTAATAATGTATGCTAACATGTATGTCAATTACGTATGGGGGGAGGTCTAGCCTTAGGCTAGAGTTCATATTAATACAAGCAATAAAACATTAGCTTAGTGCTGGTAATCCAGCCTTATGGTTTAGCTAGGGAGTTTCCTACCTTCTGGCAACTCCCACAGGAGCTGGCTTTATCTGACTGTTGCAGTGAAGGCCAGCCGTAGTGTGACATAACATGGATAAAATCCTTGGTAACAACCACAAGGGGACAAAGAAGAAAACTGCTGACTCAAAGGAATGCTCAATGGTCATTTACATGCATATGGCATTTTTTGAACTTCCCTTGCTTGCGGTCTGAAGTGTTTAAAATTAAATAAATACACTGGATTTTATGCATTTATTTTGGGTACATCCAACAGATATGAACAGTCCTGTCCTAGTTGCTGGCATCTTCTACAAAAGCTTTTAAACTGAAAACAACGCACGTGCTTTGACTTCTGTTATCAGATCAACTACATCACCAGCAACAGGTTCTGATACTTAATCACAGAATCACAGATTCATTAAGGTTGGAGAAGATCACTAAGATCATCTACTCCAACCATCAACCCATCCCCACCAGGCCCTTTAATCCACATCCTTCTGTGCCATATCCACACATCTCTTAAAAACCTCCAGAGATGGTGACTCCACCACCTCCCTGGGCAGCCTATTCCAGTACCTCGCCACTCTTAGAAGAAATTTCTCCTAATATCCAACCTGAGCCTCCAATGGCACAATTTGAGGCCATTTCCTCTTGTCCTCTTGCTGTCACCTGGGAGAATAGGCTGACCCCCACTTTGCTAAGTCCTCCTTTCATGCAGTTGTAGGGAGCGATAAGGTCTCTGAGCCTCATTTTCTCCAGGCTAAACAATCCCAGTTCCCTTACCTATATCCCATAAGACTTGTGTTCCAGTTCCCTCACCCACTTTGTTGCTTTTCTTTGAAGATTGTGATGCTTTCCAATTAGGAAAGTTAATGCCAGTTTGCATCTCAACCACAGAAAGGCAAAATATATTTAATGAAATCTCAGTAGCTTCCAGTGAATACATCAGGTGGAAGAGAAAATAAAGCTCTTTACCCACTTGCAAATTTTGTAATAATGGACAGGCACCCACCCCTTGGCACACATAGAGGTGTTCAGTCAGGTCATCATCTTGCCACCCACTGGGCACTAGCAGTAAATGACTGGGGCAGATTTCAGGTAGTTTCAGAAGAACAAACTGTCTGCAAACCAATTTCTGAAGGCAAAAGCTGTATGTAGATGTATTGAAAGGGATGTAAAAAACAGAAGAGACATGAACCTACTGGAGCATGTTCAGTGAAGGGTCTTGAAGATGATTCGCATCACATGGGGGACGATGCACGAGTTTAGGATATTTGACTGATGAGATAGAAGTGAAAAGGCTGGAATTGTTCAGCCTGAAAAATAGAGAGATCAGTGGGGATCTTATCAGTGTGTACAAATATCTGATGGGGGAGAGCAAGAAGACTGAGTCAGGCTCTTTTCTGTTGTGCCCGGTTCCAGGACAAGAAACAACAGGCACAAGCTGAAACACAGGAGGTCCTCCTAAGCACCAGGAAGCACTTCTGTGCTGTGCAGGTGGTTGAACGTTGGAATAGGTTGCTTGGAGAAGTTGTGGAGTCTCCATCCTTGGAAAAAGTTTTTCCAAACTGCACTTGGCCCAAGGCAACTGGTTCTAGCTGGCTGTTCTTTGGGAAGGGGTTGAACTAGATAATCTCTCAGAGGTGTCTTCCAACCTCATCCATGCTGTGTCTGCACAAAGCAAAGGTCATCTGCCATTCAGGAAAGCAAAAACATATTATGAACTTGTTCACAGCATGGTATTTCTCTTTTTAAAATCATTTCTCTGAGACCTATGGAGTCCTATTCTTCCTTTCTCAGTTTTTACACCTTTGCTGATGTATCCCTCCCTAGTTTTCACAGCACTTCAACTCCTTTGATGCAAAGCACTGCATCAAATACAAACTTGTCTTCAGCACCAGGCATAAATTTATTGCCTCAATCTGTATTTCTTAGGCAGTTTTATGAGAGGCTATGTGCTCAACTCCATTAACAGTGCTAGCCTCAATGACTTTCCCTCCACTTCTGCAATTATCTGTTGGATTTTTTCTATGATCTTTTTTATGTGCAATATACCTGTCTAGCTCTGGTCCATCTACATTTTTATTTAATCTTCTCTTATGCCAAAGAAGCTATTTCCTTTCCAAGTATCAATACCAACCAAATCCATTCAAGATGTAATCTCTGGCAGGTTTCTAAGAACACTTTATTGGCATTGAGTTTATTTTCTTACTTGCAAGCTTTCTGGGCAAGGATTGTTTATTTCCAGTTCCCATACAAATGCAGAATGATTTTTTAGTCCCTAGCAAGTAAAAATACTGCCACTGAGGGAATAGCAAGCTGGAGGCAATGCAACAGCTTAGACCATAGAAGTGGATCCAGGGGGACACAATGTATGGATGTGACAGTCAGCAAAGAGCCTGACTGCCCCTCTGAAGGGACAGATGCAGTAACAAACCAGTGAAGAGTAACTCCAGCTGAAGTGGACTGGTTGGACCCTCTGCATGCCAACAAACAATAAGCAACAAGAAGGCAGATGCTGAAGAGCTGTGCACTGGGGGAGGCAGAGTAGGGACCAGCAGCCAGTCGTGGCTGTATCCCTGGAGGCCTGTGTCTGTGTGTGACCCCAGAGGCCTTTATTTTCTATCCCCTGGCCATGTCCTCCGAGCATCCGGAGCTCGATGTGAGCCTTCCTGCAGGCAGCGCTAGTTCTCTGTTCCCTGTGAGGTAAGCACAGATCCAGGCCACCACCACACACCCTCTCTTGACACGAGTCCCCAGGTCGGGCAGCCGCTTCCCCTGTCTGGCAGAAGGCCAGCTGCCATGGGGGCAGAGCCCTTACCGCCACTGGAAATATCCCTCAGCCCAGAAGAGGCCCCTCAGCTCTCTGGCACACAGCCGTTTCCTTCGGGCTCAAGACTGCGGTTCTGGCTTTTGAAGAAGTGGTTTTGCTGCGGGCAGTGACGTGTGCCCTGAAGACACCACCTGCATGGCTGGTCCCACACACTGGGGCTGGGGACAGCAGGGCATCAGCAGTATGGCAGTGTGTCTGCTGTGCCTACCAGGTTTCCCCAACCCGCTCCTCCAATCCTTTCCTCCCCGTGTCCCAACCTCTCGCTGCATCCCATCATATCTTGCCTTTCTTTCTCCCCTGGCTTCCTATACATTCCTCTTCTGCATCTTTTATTTTCCATCCTGCTATTCTTCTGTGTGTCCTCCTCTCTGTTCCATCTCTCTGATCTCCCAGCCTGGCTCTCGTCCTGATGCATTTCATGCTCAGAGCAAAAAGTATCTAAACGTGGTGCGTTTTTTTTTTGTATTCCTGATACAGAAGTATTAATACCAGCTTGACATGATCACTCTAAACAATATACCTACAGTTTTCTAGGTAAATAATCTTTGAGTGAGATGTATTGAAATTTGCATCTGTATCTCAGCAGGCTTTGTTGTTGAACAAGCTAAATAGAAGGTGTGGTATTAATATCTAGAAAGTATCTCTTCTTTTTTGGAGAGAAATTCTGCCAACACCTCAACTGTTAAGAGAAAAGAAAATAACAGCGTCTTTTATCTCAGTTGCCTCCAACTATTTTTCTCTGTCTTTAAAATAAATGGCTTGCTCCTATCAAACATGATCTTGCTGATTCAAAATCCAGGGCCAAGAAAAAAAGTGTTTTGTTTTGTTTTGTTTTCTGGTTTTCTCTGTTCTGATGCATTCCTGGGAAAGTTATTTAAGGTCCATTTTCATCTCCATATACAGGAGTAGTATTTACTTCAAAGAGCAAGTCTTAGATGTTATTCATTCATGTCTCACAGTCTACATGAGGTATTGCAAGGAAGGTGGAGTAAAATGAAAATAAGTATTTTATGATCTCCTGCTTTGCATGATTACTGATACTATTATTAAGTAGTAGCACTCAAAGATGGATTTCTGTGTTTTCTTCTTGACTGAGCTGTTCTACTCTTGCTGGCAGTGTAAAAGAATAAACAAAAACAATTAGCTTTTGGGATATGGTAGTTCCTGAAGGCCTCGGTGGAGAACAGACCAAAGCATGGCTGAGACAGCTCTCAGGAGTGAGAAGAGCTGAAGAAGGACTGGGGAGGACTGTTGCACTGTGTTGAGATATTACTTAGTCAAGACAGGGATATAGGGAGGAAGCAGTACTTCTGTTAAGGCCAGCAGATACAGGGAAGAAACCAATTACTTTGGGACATGCAAGCTGGATAGGGTTTGAAAAGACGGATGGAACTCACAGCAGATGTCCTGAGAATTGCTGGCTCTATGAATCTCTTCTCTTTAAAAAAATTCTGATGGAAAGCTGTTAAGCATTTAATGAATTATGTGTAATTTGTTAAAGATAGGTGTATTACCTGTAAAAATCCATGTATTGTCTAGAGCTAAGCCCTAATTTGGGTGAACACATAGCCTGTGTCTGCATGATGAACCATAACCATCAGAAATTGCAACACTTACCCAGCAAAAGGAAAGCCAAACTGCAGTAACTTCTGGAGGAGAATCTGCCCAGTATGTACAGAATGAACGCATCGGGTCTCCCTGTGAATTATACACTCAGAACTGCAGAAAATTCAAGACAAAAAAAGCATCTTGTCTGTTTTTTTTTTTTGCTGAAATAAGTAATACCCAGCAGCAAGGAATGTAATCCCAAGAACTTTAGAAAATAACAAATTCAGTACAATATATATCTAAATACAGATATATGTATATTAAAAGCACTACTCCAGTTCCTCATCTTCTTAATGTTTTCTGGTTATCCTAAACAAGAGCTTGTAGTTAATGATAATATTATCTAACATACAGCATTAGTGGATGAGGTGGGAGGATGGATGGGAACTGAGGCAGTAATACAGCTTCATGTTTCACAAGAGAACTTCTGTGACACACAGGGACTTTCAGTGACCTTTCTCACCAGAGGAATCTTTCCTTTAGCAACTGCTCCTGCCCCCTTTATTCGTGTTGCACCCGCTGCTAGTGAGAGCTGCTCATGGAGTTTTATGCAATTTCAAGGCACCTGAGAGAAACAAAGCTCTGAGCTGTTAAGATCTCAGCATGGGTGACAAGTGAGAGGAAGTTTTGTATGAGCAAAGGCTGCAAAGTCAGGCGTTAGCAGGCTCTGGATCAGATTATGCTGTATCTGATTGCACAAAACTCCTGGAACAATAATGTCAAAAAAAACCTTTGTAGAACAGAAAAGCATCTATTCCTTCTGCGTGGCAGAGAACCCAAAAACCATGAGATAGGACAGCACGTTCTCCCTTTTTAAGGGGAACTTTCAAAATGGGTGAGAGCCAGCAGGATGCATTTGAGTCCCAGCAGAAGGACCCAGCAGCCAGCAGGATTTGTCCATATCCCAGCAGTCAACCTTCTGCTCTCTGGCATCCATCTGGTGAGCAATTCAGAGCATGCTCAGGTGCTGAGCACCACTGCAAACAGAGAAATTAAATCAGTCAGCACCGCAGGGAGAATCCAGTTTGATTCTAACTATAATCTCTTTTCTGAAGCATGCAAAAATGTTGGTGCAAGATTTCTCCAGCTGTAAATGCTGGAAAAGGCTGGTAAGTGGTCTGCTTACTCAGGGAAACATAGTTGTGCCCAGCAAAACATGTTTTCATGGTCATCTATCAGTGTGTATTTCATGAATCAGAGGATAAGGCGTAATTTCTGAAGTGATGATTCCTGAAGGTGAGAAAGGATTATATGCTGATACAAGTGAATGTGATTTAAAGCTTTTGGTGTTTTGTTTATTTTGAGGTTTGGCCCCATTTACTTTTTCCTATCTTCTCAAAAAATATTTCTCACATTCCCCAAATTTCCAGCTATTGAGAAGCCAGTATGCCCAGCAGTGCATCGGTGCATGCTGCTCAGTGAAGCAGAGCTGCAGGCATCTCATCTTTCCACAGCATCCCCTTCTACATCTCTTCCTGTTAGGACCCCAAAATAGTATAGCACACAGAGCTGAATCCAAGCTTCCTCTTCTGTTGTTCCTGCATTTCTCAAAATGCAGCTATTGAAAGATACTGAAGTTCATGGCATAAGCTTAGTAATATGCAAGATTATGTACTCTTAAATGAAAAACTACTTTGGGTCATTATGTTGAGCTAGTTTTTCTGAAAATTTTCATAGAAGTGTTCATTGCAAAAGGAAGGGATGAAAACATACAGCAGACACTGATGGAATTGAAATTGGAAAGTAAAATATTTACAGGGCAAAAATACAGAAATATGGAAGAGTGGGAATGGGTAACCAATAGAGGCAGAAAGCAATTCCAGTTTTGTTTTGATCTCACAGTTTCAAAAGGAATGTAGGAACCAAAAATCAGTTGAGACATTTTTTCCTTTTCATATTTTGTAGCAAAGCCATTCTCTTTAGCTCTCTCTCCTTCTGTCTGTCCTTCCCCCACCCGCCCTTCAGGCTGTCCCTGTTCACTCCCTCACGTGCTGTCCAGAAAGAGAAAGACAGTGTACTGCAGCCTGCTATGGAAACTTGTTTTCATTTAAAAGAGAAGTTTTACAACAGTGGGATGACAAGTGATATCATTTCACTTTCTGCAGTGTTCTGTTGTCATTTCTCTTTTGGGCAGATCCTTTTCTCACTGTTGATGAGGTGCTGGAAATGTCATAGCTTTAACATTCAGTACTTAAATAAAGTAGCTCTTGCTTGCAGGAAAGCAGTAATTCCACTAATGTTGGTAGAAGTGCTGGAGTGTGTCAGGTAATGAGCCTGGAGTACTTAAACACAGAGTACTTTAAAAAAAAAAAAGAGTTAAAGCAAACTTACTTATGTCATTAGCTGAGACACGTCTGTTTGCTTTACTTCAATGTTGTGTATCCAGCTTGTTAATGGCATAAATATGTGCCATCCCCGTGAGCAAACATCCTGTAGAGGATATTCAGAAGAAGGACAGCTCAGCACCACTTGGTGATTAGTGGAGAACTTCTGTGGCAGCATTGCTGCTGTGCTTCTTTTACCCAAAGAATTATCCCTTTGTTCACAGAATCACAGGATGGCTGAAATGAGAAGGGAGCTCTGGAGGCCGCCTGGCCCAGCCCTGCTCCATCAGGGACACCCAGAGCAAGGTACCCAGAGCCGTGTCCAGGTGGTTTTGGAAGATCTCCAGGAAGGAAACTCCACTGCCTCTGGGGAGCCTGTGCCAGCGCTCCATCACCTGCACAGCACAGCAGTGCTTCTGGTGTTCCAAGGGCCTGTGTGCTAGTTTGTGCCCATGGCCTCTGGTCCCGGAACTGTGCACCTCTGAGCATGGCCTGGCTCTGACCTCTTGGTGCCCTCCCTTCAGGCATTTATAGTGACTTTTCAGCCAATTAAAAAAAAAAAAAAAAAAAAAAAAAAAAAGGAGTATCCTCAGCAGTCCCAGTTACTCTTTGTGAACTGGTTGTGAATGGCTGGAGTGGCATAAGCTGTGGGTTTCAGGGGGCTCCCTGCAAGCATGAGCTTGCTGAGTGACTGCAGATAATTCAGTGTGGGACCAAGATCCAGGAGATCTGAAGCTATCTGCAGGGTGGAAGGGCTGTCACTGACCCAGCTAGTTCCATGCAAAGCAGACAAAATGAACAGTAACAAGTGAAAGAACAGTTCAGCTGTTAGAGCTGAACTTTTATCTGCAACCCAGATGGTGGGTAGATAGAAAGTTTTCTTAATGAAATGAAAGGCAAATAAGAATTTGAATACAGCCCTGCAGTTCTTCCTCGCCCGAGCCTAGGTAACCACAAACCAGAAGAGGCAGGACAACTTCAGTCTTCAGCATTTGCTTCGTGCTAAGGTGGTAACTATTCTCAGATTAAAGCTGTGAGTTACTGACACAAACTGAAGACTCAAAGAGGTATTGATTATAAAGCAGATTATAAATTAAGGAGTAATATGATGTTTGGGCGAGTCAGTAACTGTAAAAGAAGTCTAAAACAGCAATAGGCGTTTGGGTTATTCATAAACAGGCATAATCCTGCACTAAAAGCAACTGATTCCCAGAGATACAGCAAGTCTCACATTTGCAGGAAGACAAGTATAGAATTAGAAAATCTGGAACCCGATAAAAATATATAAATCAAACTGGATTGTGATTCATTCTGGCTTAAAAGAATGATGAAACCAAAACACCATTCACAGAGTATGGTTTGGATAACAGTCTTCGAGAAACTTAATGGCAGAAGCAGACAGTAAAGCTGGATGTGTAACTGTTGTGAGATGTATGCCTGCACTTCGTGTCATCATTAGCTTACTTTGTAAGGCACAAAAGCAAACATATCTATAGGTAATTAGGAAAAAAGGAGTAGCTCTCCTGACTGCCAGCTATGTGTTCTGTTGGAAAAGGTTCTGCCTTGTACTCTGACAGAGAGGTATAAAATACATCCCCGGCGCTGATGTGAAATCTTCATCCATCTCAATTATGGTTTGTTAAAATTTCTGCACAATTTATAAGCTGGCTGCAATGAGGCATAGACAGAGTTAACTATCCTCCTCTAAGAAGAAATACATTACCATTAAAAAAGGCATAATTGCATAATAGGCATAATAAATGATATTGCTGTATCAAAAAATTTGTTAATACATAACAAGACAGAGGAGAAGTTCTTGGAAATGGTGGCTGGGGAGTCACAGGGTATAAAAGAATGTGTAAGAAAGTGGAATGGCTTCCTTGCAGCTGTTTTCATCTGGGGCCTGAAAAGGCAGGGCAGAGAAAAACTAAAAAGGTGGAAAATTAATTTGTGGACAAAGTCTTCTCTGCTGCATGTGATAAACTGTGCTGGAACAGGCTGCCTTGGCAGCAGTGTCCTGAGGCAGATTGAGCAACACAATTTTTCCTTCCTCGGATGTTGTGAAGAGGTTTTTTAGATTTGGAAAGACCAGGGAAGCGTTAAGCCAACAAGTTACCAACCAGCAAAACCTCTGCTGGCATTTACACTGAATCAATTACAAATGGTTAACAGGTTCTGGTGTGATATCCCTCCAAAAATAAACACTTTTGCAGAAATTTCTACTGTATATGCAGTAGTTCTTGTGGAAAGAAAAGGAAAGAGGAAAGGGAAAGGAAAAGAAGGAAAAGGAAAAGGAAAAGGAAAAGGAAAAGGAAAAGGAAAAGGA